GCTCTTGTTTGAGCAAAACCTGAACTTGGGACTAGGTCAGAAAGCCAAGGAATTTGTGGATGCAAAGCAGATTTTTAGCTCAAAGCTGTCTGAGGGAGCTGTGTGAGTCCCCATCGTTTCAGCATCCCACTCCTTCACTCAGACAACGGGCGTAGCATGAGGAGCTGGGAGAGTGGAGGGGAGTAAATTGGAAACATAAAACTCCATGAGGATGTGTGAAGCCCATCTCTTCTCACTGGGTTAGATATGAGAACCCCCTTCTCTCCTCACTGCTTTCAGGGACTCACTGGGCCTTTGCTTTGTTTTGGCAGGTTCTGCTGGATCGAGTCGTGTGCCATGTACGAGCTCTGGTGGTTCTGCCCACCAAAGAACTGGCACAACAGGTATGTGGCTCTTCACCTCCTCTCTGAGCGGAACTGGGCAGAGGGGAAGTCTGCTGTGGTCACTGCTTTGCCAGGCTGTTCCGTGGAGCTGGTTGAAGACCTGTCAGTGGGTTTGATGTTGTTAGCGTAACGGAAAGTATCACTTTAACCGATTGGGTTGTAGCTAACAAAGCCCATCTCTTCACAGGTGAGTAAAGTGTTCAACATCTACACTGATGGGACGGGTCTGAAGGTGGTTTTGATTACTGGCCAGAAATCTTTTGCGAAGGAGCAGGAGATGCTTGTCCAGAAAAAGTAGGTTAAAAGGTCTTTTGATTAAGTTTATCGAGATTGTAAACTATTAAATCTCAGTAAGCAGAGGTCCAAATGTAGGCTATTGCATCACTCCATCATGCAACAGTGATTTTGGGTAGTGGGTTTACATGCTAGACACTGGTTGTTCTGTCTTTCTTAAAGTGCCTGCTACTACCCCTTTTTTTGATCGTTATGTTTTACTAGATTTTTGGGGTTCTTCACCAGCTGAATAGGATGCTAACGTTTACCTGATGCCAGCAGGTACAGATGGTTGTTGGGGGGTTTGCTGCGATTAAGCTTTTTTTGAGAGCAGTGACACTTAAACATGTTCTGTTTAAAATGAGGCAGTGCAGTGTAGAACAGGGTTTAGTGTCCAGCACTGCTTTGCATGCTCTCCAAAGTAAAGTGCATATTTGGATTTTATTATTTCTCACTTAACTGAATAGCAGAAAAATCTTAAGGTGCACTGACCAAGGTTCTCTGCTACACACTTTAAGGTGAAGGGAGAAGCTTACTGATGGGCTTCTTGTTCTTTCAGAGTGACAGGCTACTGCAGCCTGGCTGACATTATTGTGGCTACGCCAGGGCGGCTCACAGATCACATTAACCAGACCCCAGGGTTCAGCCTGACGCAACTTCGTTTCCTGGTGAGTCAAATTCACAGGTCTCCAGTCTCGGTGCAAGGTCCGTTAACAGCTGTGATTCTCGCTTTGCTCTTGCATGGTACATAAATACATCTGTGTTGGAACTGTTGTATGGGCCTGCTCCACACTCCAGATTGCTCAGGCAGTAGTCTCAAGATGAGATGTTTTATTCCAGCTCTTGACACCCAAGTGTCCACCCACTTCCCCTTCTCAGCCTCTTGCAAACACAGACTCAGAGTAGAATCATAAAATGGTTTGGGTT